CGGCATCGCCGCCTTCCAGGGGCTCTCCAACCTGGCACTCAATGGTGAGCGGGGGCCGTGGGATGGGACCTGGGGGGCTGCGGGGCAGGACCCCTTCCAAACACCACCTCTGCCCCCCACCCCACAGGCATCGTACTGGGAACCATCTTCGTCGGCGGCTCCCTGATGGCTGGGGATGAGCTCTCACCAGGTGACCTCATGTCCTTCCTGGTGGCCTCGCAGACGGTGCAAAGGTCAGGGCAGGGCCTGGTGTTACCCCGAGTACCTCCAGCACCCCCCCATTCCCCACAGCCTGCTCTGGCACAGCTCTGAGCACAGCCTCTCCCCTTGTGCACCCCAGGTCCTTGGCCAACATCTCCATCCTGATGGGGCAGGTAGGTGGGGCAGGGGCTCCTGGCACCCTGAGGGCTGGGGGTCTGGTTCTGGGGGTCTGAGGGTGCTCCCACTGCCCCCCCCGCAGGTGGTGCGGGGTCTGAGCGCCGGCGCCCGTGTCTTTGAGCTGCTGACACTGGAGCCCCTCGTGCCTCTGCAGGGGGGGGCCTCCATCCCTGCCCACTCCCTGCATGGCCGCATCTGCTTCCACCATGTTTCCTTCAGGTGAGCCCCCTGTGATCCCCCGTGCTGCCCTGCAGGCTGTGGGGCTGGCACCGTGTCCCCGCAGCCCCCACAGCCTCCCTCTCCTCTGCCTACAGTTATCCCACCCGGCCTGGCTACCCGGTCCTGCAGGACTTCAGCCTCACTCTGCCCCCCTGTCAGACTGTGGCCATCGTAGGACCCTCCGGAGGAGGTACCAGCCCACCTAGGACCCTCTGAACCCCCACGTCATAGCCCGGCGGGACCTCAGTGTCCCAGCCCCTCACCTCTCCCTGGGCACGTCCTCCTGCACCCCAGTCCTCTGCTCGGTGCACCCAGTGGGTGCCAGGGACTGGGACCCCTCCAGTGCTGCCAGAGCCGAGGGGCTGAGGGGTCCCCTCCATAGGGAAGTCGACAGTGGCAGCACTGCTGGAGCGGTTCTACGAGCCCACGGCAGGAACCATCACCTTGGACGGGCACGACATTGCCGGCCTGGACCCCTCCTGGCTGCGGGGGCAGGTCATTGGCTTCATCAGCCAGGTGGGGACAGGTGGGAACAGGGGGGACAGGTTGGCTGGCTGTCCCCAGGGCTCAGCACTGAGGCCCCGGGCGCTGCCGCAGGAGCCGGTGCTGTTTGCGACGACCATCATGGAGAACATCCGCTTCGGGAAGCCAGAAGCCTCTGATGCTGAGGTGTACGAGGCTGCCCGGCAGGCCAACGCCGACGGCTTCATCCGCAGCTTCCCCCAGGGCTACGACACCGTTGTGGGTACGGCCGGGGCGGGAGGGGGACGGGCGGGTGTGGGACCCTGACAGGAGTGACCCCGGTCTCATGGCAACACCGTCTGCACGGGAGGGATGGGGTTTGGGTGGGGAGGGTCCCTGGCCCCCGATCCCGTGCTGTCCCCCCATCC